TTCAGGGCAGAGGGCACAGGTCTAAAAAGCCCAGAGACCGGGTATGCGGCCCCGACTCTGCCACAGTCAGCCTGTTCACTTTGAGCCAATCGTTTCTGTTCTCTGAGCCTCATTTGCTTCATCTGTGATATGGGGTGCTAACCAGCCCAGTCAACACTTAGAATTTAGGGTTTCACATCCCTGATCCCACCTCCCTTATTCTGCACAAAGTCCTCCCTTTGCTCATCCTTACCTATCGTCACACCCTGGGGAGCGGGGTGGCAGAACAGGAAGACTCAGGACTCCCCAGCTCTGAGGAGCTCCCAGGTGGTTCTGGAGATGGGTCTTCCTTCCTCCTGCACCCCAGGTTCCTGGCGGGGCAGGGTGGGTGGGTGATGGCAGCTGCAAGGATTTCTAGAGCTCCTGGAAGAAACACAGCTTGAAACCCACAGATCTAGGCAGCCCAACATCATTGCCTTGGTTTCTGGGAGCATCCCCAGGGTTCAGGGTTCCGGTGCATGGATCACTAGCGAGGCTCTAGATCAAGCATGTCAAACTCGCGGCCCGCGGGCTGCATGCCTCATTTATTTGGCCCGTGTTAGCCTTTGAGTTTGACATGCTTGCTCTAGATGGCAGTGTTTCTGATGAAGATGCGGCCTCCTGGATGAGAGGCAGGGGATCTGAGCATCTGACTGGCAGTCCCTGCTTCTGGAATGGGTGCTGTCCCAGGGAAGTGCAGGCTCTGCCGCCTGGAATGTCCCTGCAGCTGTGCATCTGGGAAGAGGAGGCACTGAAGGGGCAATGCGCTTACACACCTTCAGGGGGCTCAGCATTCCAAGTCTCCCTGATTCTGCCCTGCTGTGTTGGCGGGCCTTCGAGGGGGCCCTCCCTCAGGTGCCTGGACTCCTCACAGCCTCCCTGGCCATCTGATGCAGGAAGTAACCAGAGAGCCTTCTGACTCAAACCTGCCTCAGGGCTGCACCGTTTAGGCCTGTGGCTCCCACTGGCTTGAGTGAGAAGTGACCCAGCACTTGGCTCTTCTGTGGCAAGAAACCCATTCTCCACAGTCCGGCACTCAAGGCCTATGACACTCTCCAGATGTGAATGACAGGGGCTAATGCACATAAGGCAGTGAGTCCCCACCCTCTTCATGCCCTGGAGCGTGTAGAACGCACCAGCATGTATATAGCTCCTGGGGACAATAGAATAGGCTGCCTATGGTGCCACGGCCTGAGGGACAGTATCTGAGCACCCCTCTACCAGGCCCTGGGCACTTGCGCATGCGGCATTGGGATGCTCACATGCAAAGCAGTTAGTGGAGGGCCTACCGCAGCGCTTCTGAACTGTTGGCTGCTGCATTACTATCCCCTGGGGAGCTTTAAAAAATTCTTTTGCTCAGGCCTCACCACAGACCAATTGTCTAATGATCTTGGGTGGGGAGGCGTTTTTAGAGCTCCCCCGGGATTCTGTAGCACCAGGAAGGTTAGACTCACTGGGCCAAGACAAGGTGAGCATTCGGCAAATGTCGGCTCTTTGCAATGGACATCTCATGTCAGCTCTTTATGAGAGATGCCTCCGTGTCATGGAAGGTGCTGTTCTTGCCTGTGCAGGGGGAAGGGCTGGATTGGGGGGTTGGCCGGCCGGACCTCACAGGGCACTGCTGTTCAGGAGAGATGAATGCTGGGTAGGGCAGCCTGGCATCTATCTCCCTCAGCCAGGTCTCAGCAAATTGAATTAAAACCCATATTTTTTAGCTGCTGCCCGCCTGGCTGGCTGGCTGGCTGTGGAAGGAGCTGAGGCAGGGAGCACCTCAGGGAAGGGAGAGCTGTTGAGGAGACCCCAGCCTCCTCCCGAGCGGGGAGAAGGCACACAAGGGGTCCTTCTGGGAGACCATTCCCAAGGCTGGTCCCTCAGCCTCGGGTGGTCCCGAAGCCAGGCAGGCAGAGTGAGTAAGGGCGGCTGGCTTGGAAAAGGAGGAAGAGGCTGGCTCTGTCCCGGGGAGGCCCGGTCTGGGGAACAGAAGCGGCTGGAGTGTGTCCTGCTCAAGAAGAACCACGGTGGTTTGGAAGGACCACAGCCATAAACCTGGATGGGCAGAAAGTAGTCCAGGACAAGGAAGCCCAGCCTGGACTCCAGCACGAGGGGGGACAGCCCACCAGGGAGAACGCTGAGGTGGGCACCAGGACACGGGCTTCAGTTCCAATCCGAAAGTTCCCTGCATGTCCTGGGCTGGTCCTGTGCCCCTTTGGGCTTAGGCACTTCATTCACGGGGAAGGGGACTAGACAAACCCCTGGATCCCAGCTCTGATGTTCATTTTTGCATCTCTATGGGCAGATGCTATGAGGTGGGGCTTGCATGAGATCCATCTATAAGGACTGGTGGCCCCTATAGCACCTTGGGGAGATTAGAGAGGTGCCACCCCCTCCCTCCAGAACTTACTAGAAACCTGTCCCTTTTGGGTGGACTCTGTGTGCCAGGACTGGTTGGGAGTGGGCAGAGCAGGAGCTGGACTTCTAACCCCACTTACCCCTTGGCCACATCCCTCTGTGTGGGGCACAAACTGCACAGTGGTACCTGGAGCCCTGACTGCCCCCTGCATGTGCTCAGCCAGGATCTCACCCTCTGGCCGGGGCCTTGAAGCAAAACGAGAAGAGGTGACAGAAAGGCTGTGAGCAGAGCATGGCTGGGCTTCTGCCCTGGTCGGCTGCTGCCCAGGCAGAGAGGAAGGCGTGCCCATGCCAGCCTGCTCACCGCCCTCACCAGGACATATATCTGGGGATGTTGGTCAGAGTGCATGGGATACAGGACCCACTGTGGGACCCGGGGAACTCGGAGTGTGGAAAACGGAAGCAACCTGGAACTGAATGTGAACCTCAGAGCCAAGCTGGAGGGCCTCCAGTCCCACGGACAGTTCCAGGGTGGACTGGCCTGCCGTCCACGACTCTGATCTCACCCTGCCGTCCACTCCAGGCCCCCCGTGTTCCTCACTCCGCGTTTCCCTCCTGACTCTGAGGCCCCTGCAGCCTCCCCTCCCCTCTGAGGACCGTTCACAGTTTACAGAGCACTTTCACACTCCGCATCTCATTTGATCTTCACAATGCCAGGGCTGTCCAAAGGAAGGAAGCAGGCTCCCAGGGGTTAGGGCAACAAGCCAGGTCCAGAGGCAAGTCCTAGCTGCTTGACTCACTAGCACAGCACCAGGCCCTCTTCTTCCCAGAGGGGTTCACTCTTTCTGATGCAGGGGCCTGATGTTCTCCTTGAGGACATCAAGGGAGCGTTCCTGGACGGAAAGGCATGTGAGTCCTGGTGGCCAGCTGTGGGTGTACCAGGGGGCCAGTGCTCACTATGCAGTGAAAAGAAACCATCGGCCCACTGTGGGGACCCGGGGAACTCCTCGTATCTTTCTGGGGCCACAGGTACTCCCTGTAGTTTCCATTATGGGCTCCTGCTCTATCTTCCGGCCCTCTTTTCCTCAGTTGGATGGGGGTCCTTGAGGGAGAACCCCAGTCTCGCATCCCTCTGCTTCCCTCAGGCTTCCTCAGCAAGGTGGCCAGAGCAAGACTCGGGCCCACAGGGCGGGTGGACAATAGCTGATGTAAATGGGGAAGGCCAGAGCCTGGTTGCAGAAGATGAATGTGTGTGTGTGTGTGTGTGTGTGTGTGTGTGTGTGTAGGGAGTTCTTGGCATGTTGACATGTGGGGCAGTGACCAGAGCAGGGATGGACGGTTGGGGTGGGCAGAGGGTGAATACGTGGCCCGGAGGTGGGTTCTTAAGAGTTGGCTCTACCACCGATTCTGGCTGCATGATCTGTTTAGTTCTCCTTATTAAGCCTCAGTTTACCCATCCGTAAAGGAGGAAGTTCAGTAGGATCCCAATAACAGTAGCAACAGCCATGTGTTCTTCAGTGGAGAAATAAGATCAGGGAAAACCTATGGGGTATGTCAAGGCACATGACGAAGCTGAGGCTCAAAGCCATCCAGCTAAGGGGCCTAAGCTTATGGAGCCAGCCAGGAGTCTGACTCCCGAGCAGAGCAGCCTCTGTCCATTTAAGCTGCGGGAGGCCCCCCTATGTGCCCCTACCACTGTGGCCCTACCACTTCCCTGACCATAGAGGCATTCCCCAGGAGATCACCCCCCCTGTGTGCCCCTACCACTTCCCTGAACATAGAGGCATTCCCCAGATCACATTTGACGACATCCAGGCAGGCTCCCCAAAGCCAGCTGACCTTCTCAGGCCCGGGGCTGCGGGGACACCGACCCAGGAGAGTCAGGACTTGCTGGGTAAGGAGGGCTTCATGGAGGAGGAGGAGCAGACACGGAATCGTGAGGCTGTGGAAGGAAGACAGAACAGGGCTTTCACGCTCTGGATACCTTGGGGAGGATAAAAAGGAGGGCGGTGAGCCCTGGGGAAGGCACCACTCGGAAGCCCCAGCGACCAAGGGGGAGGGGTCCCCCATATCCTGTCCTCCTGGGTCCAGCTGTGCAGCTATCAGCTCTCGCTGGTGTCTGCCTGGGCGAACGCGGCGGGCGGGGTCCCGCTCCCCACGTACCACCGCTCCCGGCCTAAGCCCTCCCCCAGGCGCCCATTGGCCTGCACCCCAGCCCAGCCTGCGGAGCGCGTGGGGGTGGGGGTGGGGGAGGTGGTGGTCTGTCGCCTCCCTCTAGCTCACAGCTTGGCGGAGGCGGCGCCTCTCCCGGAGAGCTGACCGGGCTAGCTGTCAGAATCAAATGACATCCTCCACACCCTGTCCACCCTCCCAGACCCCAGAATCCTCGCCCCTGGGGACTGCGGACCCCCTCCTCCTGGGCAGCGCGGGGCCAGCCTCCGAATCTAAAAGGAAGCCCCCTCCCGTCGCTGCTGCCTTCCTGCACGACAGTCTGACCCCCCCCCCCCACCCCCACCCCGCCTCTTGGGAGGATGGGTCCCTACAGCCCTTAGCGGGTGGGGTCGACCTAGCTACCTCTCGACCCTTCCCCTTCCGGTGCCAGAAGAGAGGACCTCGGGTTGGGAACGCACTGAGGCCAGAGAGACCTATAAGGACCATAGGACCCGCCTTTCTACTCCCAAGGCACAAGGACGCGCTGTGTGAATTGGGAAGGTGATGCTGAGGGTCCCCTGGGGCTGGATGCCGCAGGTCTCAGGAGATTTGAGGGCTGAGCAAGGGATGTGCTCGGTAGGAGGTGGGATAGGGGCCAGAATAGAATGCCCCGCTTGGGGACACATTTGGGATTGTTGTCTCTGGGTTTCCCCCAGCGTGGGGGGGCTGGGTCAGGATGGTTTTGGGGTCCCACCGGGGAAACGCCATCGTGGCCTGTGGGAGAAGGGCACCTGCCTGCCAGGCTGAAGTGGGCCTGACCAAGACCCCTGCCTGCTGCCTTAAAGGCACAGGTTCTGCGGCAGGGGTGGGAGGAGGGGGCCTCATCCTGTGAGTTGGGGCATCAGAAGGGGCCAGGGCTCCGATGGATGGAGCTAGATGCTCAGAGGGGAGCCCAGCAGAAGCTGATTCTATTTCACATGGAGCTGGGGAGTGGGGCCAGGCCCCTGGAAGGAGCTCGGGCCTCCTTTTGAAAGTGCTGGAGGGGGGTGCGAGGGGTCGGGGGAGACTCCCCGCTAATGCTCCAGGCCATGTGCATGCTTTTCATGCAAGTGCGTCAGTTCCCCTTTCTCCACCTCCCCCAGCCTCACAGTGTCCCACCAAGCCCCCCTCTAAATAAACCCACGCACGCAAACACAAAAAAACCAGGCACGCATTTGGCTTTTCCTGTGAGCAGCCCTGTGTGGTGGGGGGCTGGTGAAGGGGGCTTGGGAGGGATGGAGCCACACACATCTGTGGAGAGCTGCCTGCCTTGAGGCTGCCATTGCACCAGGCTGAGAAGCATCCTGAAGGCCAGGCTAGAGGCATTTGAGTGGCTGTGGGCTTCAAAAGGGGATGAAACACTGTTTGAGCCTGGGGGGTGGGGTGGGGGTAGCAGCAACACCCAGATTCTCCCAGGAGGCCCCAATCTGAGTTGGGTGCTGGGTGCAGGTGGGTTGTGTTAGAAGAGCTCACAGGTACAGATGAATCGGGCTCCTGATCCCCACTGACCTTGGAGAGGGCAAGCAGAGGTGCCAGTCTGGACACAAGCCGCAATTTGAACGTCTAAATTAGAGACAGGCCCTGTGCCAGATCTGCCAACCAATCCATCAACAAGTGTGTATGGGGTGACCAGGGAGGCGGCCCATCCCTTCCTCCCCCACCATGGGCAATTCACCCGCGGTTCTGCGTCTGGGACAAGACCCGGGAGTCTGCCCCTCTGTTCACAATGAGGGGACACGGCTGTGGGGAGTCTCTGGCAGGACCCTTTTCTGCATTCTCAGGGCTAATCAGGCTAAAGACTGGCAGGGGGTTGACATTGGAGGAAGCTTCAGAACCCATTTTCTCTCCTGCGGCCACCCTCTTGGCCAGGTCCCTACGTTGGGGTGCTCTCTCAATTTGTGTTGAATAAGCAAACATACAAAATGGGTATTTACAGTCAGCATATGAACCAAGAGGCTAGGAAAGACAGATGCTAAGGTGGCGTTCTTTCTGGGGACGTGGCCTCAGGTCTCCAGGTCAGTGACCAAGGGCTGGCAGTGGCTACGGGGAGGACAGGCACCTGGTGCTGTCTGCCAGAGGGCAGAGCCAAGGCTCAGAGCAGTACCAGGAAGGCACCCGGCCTGACGCCTACACCTGCGTGACAGTGGGTTTCTCATCCGGGAGGCGTGTGAACCGGAGTCCAGTGCCCCAGACAGGGCTGCCTCGGGATTTTCTACTCTGGGAGGGTCGAGGCCCTGGAAGCCTCGGCCACGTCTGAACAGAGGAATCCGAGTCCGGAGTCTGAACGGCTGGGCCTAGTGGTCCAGCTGCCAGGCAACACGCAGGCAGCAAATCAACTGCGATGTGTTTGTACTGAGCCCTGGATGCCGTCACGGGCACATGCCGTCATGGGCACATAGTGACAGCCACCCCCACAGTGACACACAAAGAGGGGGTGACACACAGCCGGGGAAGCATCAAGGCTTCCCGTGACACCAGCCAGAGAGCCGGGACAGAACATGTGACAGCAGAAAGACAAAAGGACATTGGGGCACACACCCTCAGATCTAGATGTACCTGGGACCCCGACGTTTGCCCAAGGAAGGCCACAAGAATCCTCCTAACGCGAGCCCAGGTGCACGGGAACTGAAGGCAGGAAGTGCGTGTGGCATGAGACGAGGACGAGGGCTGGCGAGCTTTCTGCAAAGGGCCGGATTGTCCGTATTTTAGGCTTCACTGGCCACATACTGTCGCAGCCACTCACAGTTCTGCGGTTGCAGCGTAGAAACAGCCACAGATGATATGGAAACAAATGGGCATCGCTGTGTTTGATGCGCTTATTTATGGACTGAGATTTTGAATTTCATAGCTTTCATGTGTCGTGAGATGGGAGTCCTTTCATTTTTTTCCTGACCATTTAAAGCTGTAAGCATCCTGCTTGGCTCACTGGCTGTCCAAAACTGGGTGAGGGGCTGGATCTGACCCGCCGGAGGGGCTGCCAAGACCTGGGCTGGAAGGGAGAGGTGGTGTAGGAGGTTGAAGAACGGAAGGGCTGAGTGCTAAGGGCTGGAGCTGCCCTGGGGGGCCTGGGATGCCACCCTCCACTCAGCCTGGGGCTCAGAGGGCCCCTCTGTTTCGTGGGTCAGTGCCCGGAGAGGCTCCCCACCTGGCCTGAGCGCCCCACCCCAGACAGGCCTCCGCTTGTCCATGTGATGAATCTCCCACGCTGCGGACCCCTGGAGACCACATTCGGGACTGAAAATAAAGCAGCATCACATCACCGGGCTTCACCGGAGCCTCCTTTCCCATTCACCCCGTGCCCAGGTTTGTGCCCGCCTCCACCAGGACGGCGACCACAGGGAAACCTGTGTGCCCCCCTGGAAGGGGAGGGTGAGGTGCTGCTCTCCCACTATGGGGGCGCCCAGGAGGCTAAAGAATGCCTGGAAAGACACACTGGAAAGATAGTAGAGCTTCTCCCCAGGGACCTGGGCCAGCCGCTGGAGAGCGGGGAGTGTCCCATCCCAGGAGCTGAGCCCTCTGCAGCCGCGGTGCTGTAGACAGAGTGCTGCAGGGGTTGGGGCGGTGGGGGTGGCTGGAGGGTCTCTGCGGAAAGTGGGGAGCCTGGTGAGTCACCGCTGGCCCGGTGTGGTGACTGATGATGCTGGTTTCGCGTGTGTCTGGCAAAGTGGCTCATCCGAGGACTCGGCTGCTCTTGTCAGTTCCCCACCCAGGTCTGTGGCTGTGCTGATGGGGCCTGAGGAGGGCAGGCCTTCCCGAATCTGGATGGGGAAGCGGACTCCCTTCCAGCCCAGAAATCTGTCACACAACTGTTCCTGCCAGGCTGGGGCCACGCTCTGCCCTGGGTGACTTTGGGGCGTGTCGCCCCCTCTCTAGTCTGTTTCCCCACAGGTAACTCAGTACCACTGAGAGGTGGCTTTTGAAGTCCATGTGAGGTCTGAAATGCTGTGCTTATAGTTGCAGCTTCCTAAGGAGAGAAGTATGGGCAGGGGTCAGCAGAAGGCCTGACCAGTCTCCAAGGGCGTGAGAAGGGCCACTCATGGGGTATTGGTGGGTTTTGAGCTGATCTTTCAGCAGTAGCGGAGGCTGGCAGGGGCATAAGGGATGGAGTGCACAACCTTTGGAGCCAGGTGGCTTGGGTTCACTTCCCAGTTCTCCCACATATTTGCTGTGTGACCTTAGGGAAGTTGCATAGCCTCTCTGTGCCTCAGTGACCCCAGCTATCGCGTGAGTGAGGATAATGCTAGTAACTACTTCACAGGTTTGGCTAGGTGAAATGAGTTAATGCGCATTTATTGCTTGGAAGCGTGCCTGACACATACTGAATGTTTAATAAATGTTAGTCATTAGTAAAGAAAGGTGCAGCTGGCCTGCTATTTCCATTTTGAATGTTACACGGGGCTGTGGGGATAGAGGTGTCAGTAAGAGAGCGCAAAACCCTGAACACAAGTGGTAAGGGAATAATAATAGTTAACATATGTGTAGTCCTTACTGGGAGCCAGGCTAATACTGTATAAATTTGTTGGTGTCTCACAGCAATATCTATGAGGTAGATATTACTATTATTCCCGTTTTATAGATAATCAAATTGAAGCGCAGAAGAGCTAAGTGGCTTGTCCCTAAGTCCATCACAGTAAATGTCAGGAGATAGGGTTTCTTGTCTTCAGATCAGGTGCTAAATTGCCCCAGCAGAGCCTGGACCCAAGAGCGAGCCTGGGAAGATTGGTGACCAGGTCATCCTGACCACTTGTGTGGCTGGGCCAAACGGCCCAGGTCCACCCTGAAGGAGGGGAGAGTCCCACCCCAGGCTGCAGTAGCCAGGCCCTGCCCTGTGAGGGGGTCGCTGGCAGCTGGGGAGAGTCAGAGGGGGGAGGCAGCCAGGACGAGGAGGGGCAGCTGCTACCAGGACTGTGGCTGGCAGACCCAGGGTTGCATCTATAGGGCAGAAGAGCCATTCGCATGGCCCAGGGGAGTACCAGGTTTGGGATAGGTGGTCTAATATTGTAAACTCTGAGAGCTGT